AACGGTAACCTGGTTGCCGAGTTCACGAAGTGAATTGGCTTGTTTTACAACGTCTTTGCCAAGAGACGAAAACCCAATCCCGATGGCAAACACCGGGGGGGGCGGCTTGTTTTACAACGTCGTTGCCAAGCGACGAAAACCCAACCCCGATGGCAAAACACCGGGGGGGGGGGGCTTGTTTTACAACGTCGTTGCCAAGCGACGAAAACCCAACCCCGATGGCAAACACCACCGAGGGGGGGGGGGCGCGGAACAGATGGGGTGGGCAGTTTCGAGAGAGCTTTCCAACGCCTGATAAAGACTTCGGCGACATCGCTTGTGTGTTCAAATTTTACATCAGCTGCGTCTACCGGGTGACCAATGAAAAGGCGTCATTCCTATCGCAGGACATGCCTGAGCGAGGGCAGGCCGTGCGAAATGGGTATTATCCTAGTTTCCAAATCACAGGACTCACCTCCTTGATGTGCTCTCGCACACGCTGGGAGAATGCTGCACGATCCTGCACAACGTATCGAAGGAAAATAAATGGGGAAGCGAGAAGGGGGGAGAGGAGAGAGCAAGGCCGATGTGACCAGAGCGAGACTAGGGAAGCAGACTAATCGATGAGCGGTTAGGTTTCGCTCCCCGTCGAGACATCAACAACAGGAGTTGAACCCAACAATGACCACTTCGCATTCACCCCCCCAAAACACTCGAAATAGAGGGATGAAGACATTTTCTTAGTTTGTGCCAGCTTCTCGCAATGGCGTGACGCTTTGCGGTCTTGTATTATGCCCGGTAGACATGGCCAACACTGGTGGAGTTGTTGTCAAAAAGCAAAGAATAATCTGACCCCTTACAATCAGAACGAGGAAAGGCAGCAGGACACGCCGCAATAACCAGACTTGACAAAAGACAAACAGCATGCGAGGGTGATGCGTCTTAACACTCGCAGGTTCGTAAACTCAACCAACTAAACACAAGACAGGCGGTAGAAGCAGGGAAGCTAATAATAGTCGACCATCATCCACTCGCTTTCGATATTCTACCATGCCCCCCAAACCCGAACAGCCCGCAAACGCCTCCAGGTACGGAAGCACAACCAACGCGCCTTGTACAGCTCCTCCACGGTGAGGGTACCGAGGATCTGCCGCTGGTGGCCTTCCAGGGTCCGGAGAAGCGCTTGGTGGACTTGGTCGGCGGTCTGCCGGAACAACAATCACAACAAAGCATTCAAGGAGCAACTAGACCGTAAGGAGACAAAATATTGCAAGAGGGCGGCGGACGGGGAGAGAAAGATCCTTCCGGAGAGAAAGATCCCCACGGAAGGGTCCGAGGGTCAGTGGACTTAAGGTCTTGTGACTTGAAGCAGCCGTGAATGTTGTCTCGTAGTTGTCGATGGCCCAGAGGCACACGTTCTTTATCAACAAGCACAACGAGCACGGAGAGTGCGGGCCCAACCATATGCATAGAACATATTGTTGGCAGACATCCTCCGAAGGAGTATCCAACTCTCGCTCTAGGTCCTCGCCACCCCCACCTGCACTAGCAGCTTTTTTTCCAGCGACCCCTGGGGCATGACAGCCACACACCTCTACGAGCGCAGCAAGCAAACAACGGCCGATGGAAGTACCCGAAATTAAACTCACCAAACTCGCTGTTTTAATGAATCTATCTCTATCTTCAGAACAACTCCCCACCAATCGGACGGGAGTTCGAATCCCGGGAGGTGGGTTTTATCTGCGTTCCGAACATGGTAGTTGAAAGAGCTTGCTTTCATGAGCCTTCCAAATAGATAAGGCGTGCAACGCAGAGGAAAATTTCTGCGTGGTCGTGGATTGGAGCTCTTCAGGAAAGCCGTACGGAAGGCAGACGTTACCAACCAAAGCACGGGAATAACAACGAATTAATAAAGTCTCGCCAGGCGATGTCAACGCTATGTTTTACGAGGAAACAACTCAGAACCAGCCATCTAATCGAGGAGCACGCAAACGACTGGCTGACCTTTCCGAGGAAGTGCTGGCACGCCAAGGTGATCTGCGGAAGGTTCTGCGACAAGTCATCGTGTGTGAAGGCGTCCACCTTGACCTGGCACGTTCCGCTGACGGTTACACGAACGCCTCGCACGGTCTCGGCCTCCACGCTCTTTACTGAGAGGGTGATAAGCTCTAGGCTTAGGATTTCCACGCTCTCTGCCAACGGCGAAATCCACGACGCAACGGTTACATGAGAGTAAGCTCTGATCACCGATGCCCACACTGGTATATTTAACCGGTCGCCCCGATGGTCTAGTGGTATCCTCGTAATCCGCTAGTCGCAGAGGTCGTGAGTTCGAATTCCCATGGGGTGAAAAATTTACGTAATGTGCGGGTGAAAGCGAAATATAGCTAAAAAGCTCTCGTGAGTACCAAACTTCAACGTTAGCACCGTTGACGAGGGAAAGGGACGGCTGGACCCTTCTCGCGATAAAAATACAATTCAGCACGCATCGCAGGAGGAAGGTGGGGCATGAAAAGAAATAAAAGAATAAAAAAACCCTGGTGTTTACCCCCTCCTGTGTGACCCTGGATGGTTGTGGTTGTACGAAACACGGAAAAGTGTAGTACTCTACATACGCTGAAAAAAGTAATAGTCTACACGTCTCACCACGAAAAATGGGGGGATTGTCGCCCTAATACAAAGGACGAAAACACACACAACACACTGGGAGGGTGTGCGCATACAACAACTTCAAGAAGCTGAGAGATACGACCGAATAATTTGTTCGTTTGTTCCTACAGCAGTATTGTAAGCGAAGTCCGCAGCCAATGCTACGACAAGGCAACCTATCGATGGCACAAATCACCACAGCACAAGTGCAGTCCATAAACGTTGGTTAAAAACTATCCTGCAAAGCTCTGCATGCATGCCCTCTTTTTTCTCTCTACACGACGCCTGTGCGAGTCATTGTCCACAAGCTCACACACAGAGCGGTGGGCCAGCGTTACAGCAGTAGGCGCTGAACTCACCGATGAACCATTTCTGGAGCGCGCTGCAGGTCACGAGAAACAAGAAATCAAAAGCAGCAGCCAGAGCAGCAGGCGACAGAAAACAAGTAAGTCTGGGTGTTCAACAAACAGCAGTGCGCGAAAAACGGCGACGACAGCAGTGGGCTACTTGTAGAAGGAGAGGGGGAGATGGAAAGAGAGCGCCAAGGACCAGGAGGCGTGGTACGACAAGATCGAGGACGGGGCGGCATGGTTCATGAGGAAATGGCACAGACAGGAGGCGGAAGCATCCGCGAAGCGCCAGCGCCAGCGCGCGGAGGAAGCAGAGACGGAGAGTACGGCCGCCCCGGGCCCGAAGAGAAAGAGAATCGGGGAAGCGGCGGGGGGGGGGAAGAAACGGCGACCGGACACTGCTGTAGAAGCGAGTAGGGCGGCCGATGCCGCGCTTGCGGCGAACGACGTACCCAACTGATGATGTTGTCGCACCCTGTGTTCCCTTTTCCCTGCCGTAAGCTGTATGCTCTTAGTATTGCCTCCGGCCTCTCTTTGTGCTTTTCTTCTTTCTTTCTTTCTTGTTCTCCATGCCCTCTCTACGATGATCTTGGACGATACCTCGAGCTCCTTGTTATTTTTGTTTTTTCCTTTGCTGGCTGCCTGCCACCTCTGCTGCCTCTTTGGTGCGGTGCCTACCCTACACTAATGCGCTGGTGCATACTGCACTGCTGTAGTACCTGGTACTGGTGTACGTTGTCCTTCGATTTTTTATTTTTTTGTGGGAATATAGATGTGTTTGTTTTTCGCCCCGCGTCTTGCTGCACCCCCTGGGGTGTGGTGCAGGGCGGGGGATGCCTGGTC